GCAAAGTCCCTAAGAGCTGGAACAACTCTAAAGTAATCTATTACACAAGAAAGGTGATAGTCGAAAATTGAAAACTACAGATCCATCAGCATACTGTCACACCTGTTTAAAATACTCACCAAAGTCATAACTACTCGACTAACAAGGAAATTAGACGAATACCAACCATATGAACAAGCAGGTTTTAGAAAAGGCTAATCAACTTCCGATCACCTGTTAACCACAAAAAATATTAATAAAAAATGTAACGAATACAAGTTTCCAGTTTTCCTAGCATTTGTAGACTACGAAAAAGCTTTCGATACCATAGAACACACGCCTTATAAACGCAATGCAAAATTGTAGAATAGACAGCAGATATATTAACTTAATAAAAGAAATTATGAACCAAGCTACAGCTACATACTACCTAAATGAAAATGAACATACGAACCCTGTACCATTAAACAGGGGAGTCAAACAGGGAGAACTTTATCACCCAAACTGTTAACCTTAGTTTTGAGGACGTTTTTAAAAAACCTAAATTGAAATATAAGGGAATAAACATCAATGGCCGCTACCCAGTAATCTACGATTTGCAGATCGTAGCTACTGACCTACAAGAAAACAAACCATGCTTGTAGAACTACATACCGAACTTCTAAAATAGGACTGAAAATGAATTTTAAACAAAACAAAAGTCATGCACTCCGAAGACACCGTGACAATAATAAACGATAAAGTTTATAGAAAAAAAGTTGAAGAATATATATACTTGGGACAAAAAATAAATAGGGAAATTCAGACTGTAGAAATAAAAAGAAGAAGAAAGTTAAGCTTGGGCAGCATTCTTAAAACTGAACTATATACTCAGAAATCAACAAATTCAATTACATCTTAGATCTAAAGTTTTTGATGCATGCATTATTCCGAAATTAACTTATGCGGCACAAACATGGACAATCACAAAAAAGAATATGAATATACTAAGAGTCACTCAACACGCGATTGAAAGAGCAATGCTAGGTAAATCACTTAAGGACAAGAAAAGAACACATGGATAAGACAAAAACCAAAAGTCACCGATGTGTGCAAAAATCATTGAAGTTTGAAATGGGAATACCTGGTCATGTAGCTAGGAGCGATCTAAACAAATGGCACAGATCAATTTTAACCTGGAGACCATACCAACACAAAAGACCCAGAGGCAGACCTCCTATGAGATGGACAGATGGACTGCCGGGAAAAATTGGCTACAAGTAGCGTACAATAAAAAACAATGGAAAGGAAGACTTGTAGAGGCTTATGTTCAGATGTGGACGTGAATGGCTAGACGAAGAAGAAGAAGAAGACTCTTTTTGTATTTTAACTAAATTTTGCAGTAGTAAGATAGTTTAACCTCATATTCTCAATTAACTATTTCTTTCAATTTCAGAAAAAGAACGCGAATGTTACCTTTATATGTAACGAGGAAGGAGGCTATGTTTTACAGGATCGATGTGGAACGAATTGTTATGATTGGAACACTGATGTAAGTATATACGTTACAGATTTATTGTTTATGTCATCAATAAGTTTCAGTTTTCACCTCTTCCCATTAGCGTTACCCAGAGGGTATAACAAGGTAGTCAATAATGTAATTTACCAGAAGAGTTCCTAGCACAAAGATTCGTGTATGCGCAGGGAGGTGTTTCAGTAGCTTCCAGTCTACGATAAAATGGAATACCATCAAGACTTTTCTTTTTTAGTATCCAAACTCTCTCTCTCCTATTTTTTTCTTCTTGTATTTTATTTTTAGATGGGAAGAAATGTAAATTTTTCCAAAATTATTATAGGAATAACATAAAAGAACTTCGTCCTAACTCGATTGGCTAACAGACATACTTCAATATATATATATATATATATATATTATATTATATATATATATATATATATATATATATATACATATAAATTATGAGGTTCAGGTTCGAACCCAGACCCAGTCAGAATTTTAATTTCAAATGTAGTAGTTAAATTATTGTCACTAGGCCTGACCTGTACAACAACCAGATGAATACAACTTTAGCACCTTGACTGCGTAACGAAAAATCTGTACTTTGTCCTTCTCTGCGTTACATACCGCCGGCGATATGTAAGTACACTTAAGTTTTGTGCGTTACAAGTCCCTGGGGATATGTAAGTAAAGTGACAAATTTTGACATCTCTGAGCAAAAGTATCTAATTTTATCAAACAAAATAATAAACTATGGAACCAAAATAAATTAACATTCTGCTTGCTTCGTAGCTCAATACATATCAAAATAAACGTGTACCACAAGAAAATAACAATCGAAATATGATTTTTTTAATAACTATTCTAAGAAAAAGTTACTCATGGTGTTTATTAAAACAAGATAGGCAAAATCCAGGCATATTTAAACCTGTAAACCGGATTCGGAGGTGATCTAGTATTCACCAGAATTTTCTCAAATTTTTTCCTTCACTCTATAAGATAGTTCTTATACCTATCATAAACATTCGTGAGTTTCTTTCTCGTTGCAATTAAGGTAAAAAGTGGTATAACCTATTTTACACTAAAAATAAATTGTACCATAAATTTAAATAATAAAGAAATTTGAATTTTAAAGTGTATTTGGGATTATGAAACAAACATTTGCGAACAATACTCGAAGTGCGTTAACTGTTAGGTCTTCTGTAAGAACTTATTTCCAACCCCATCTATCTTGCGTCACCCTCATCCAGTTTTTATTTTGTCTTCCTTAATCGTCAGCCTATTGTGTAGGTGGTCGATCGACATTTCTCTTGTCTTCCCTTGGTCTACATTCCCATAACCTCTTTGTCCATCGCCCATATGTCTTTCTAGCTGTGTGCCCTGCCCATATCCATTTCATTCTATCATTTCGATGACGTCAGTCACCTTGGTTCTTGTCCTGACCTCTTTTTTATTTGTCTTGGACAGTTATTCTTAACATGGATTGCTTCATTTTTCTCTGTGTGACTCTTTTAGTTTGGTAGCCGGGGTTTTTGTTAAAGTAAGTGTTTCTGCTCCGTATGTTAACACTGGAAGGACGCATTGATTAAATACGTTTCTCTTCGTCCTAGGTATTTATATTTATCTACGAGTTCTACGTCACGCCCAAAAAGAGCGGCGCCAACACAAAGAAAAATCAAAGTGGAAGGACTAAATACGGAATCCACGGATTACAGAATATAGTCAAATTATCATGTATCGCTGAAATATCAGCTTCCTCAGGAGAAGTTTAATAAAATTATTATTCTTCTAAGGAGGTTAATGTTAAGTGACACATGTCAAGTTAAATATATTCTGTGGAAACTAAATACAAAAAGTTGCAGGACATTCCAATTTATTCTTTTCTCCAAGTACAATTCCATTTTCATTCGCAAACTCCAGATATTTTGTTAAACCAGATTTTTTAGATTAGTGTATTTTGTACAAACTGCAGATAGATGAACTGCATACTGAAGAACCGTGTGATATACGCAACATTATTGAAGGATAAAGTGTCAGCAGAGGTAGCCAAAGGTTGTCAAAACCTTATCTCTTCTCTTGTAAAATCTGGTTAGGGGATGGGTTAATAGCTAGACAGAAACGACAGGTATCATATTGTGGTCTATGCGGATATATTTTAGCCCATGGCAAATTTAATAACACGGTTAGGGATATATTCCAACAGGTTCTGACTATAGTTACAGAATGGACTTAAAATTTAGAGCTTAATATAAATATCAGAAGTCCAAGATCATGAAATTTACCAGAAAAAAGAATTTAGCGGGATTATACCCTATACTATAAATATATATATATATAAATATAAATATACTATAAATAAGTGATACAAATCTAAATTTGGACGGTGAAGTACAGTTACTTGGAGTAATATTAGACTCGAAGCTTACTTGGAATTAGCCGACAGAACTAAGGGATGACTATTGGTACCTAGACACAATCATGGAAAATGTGGGGTTTAAACCAGACTTTTTTCATGCAGAACAACAGATAAAGAAGCCCTAATGGACCGTACAAAAATCTGAGTATAACGTTCTGTTTAAATCAGCACATAGCAACATCACAAATCAAATTAGAGATATAGTACCCAAATACAGCCCTAAAGTAACCACTCAGCTGGACATCCGCTCTTAAGAGCGAAAGGCAAAGGACAAGACAACCAGGCCGCAAGGTTACACCTGATACACTCCTTCTTCTCAAAGTTCCGTCTTCTATCGAAGGTTAGATATCAACATGGCAATTTTCACTTCCGCAGCTGTAAAAACCTGATACAGGTGCAGATGTAAAACTCCAGAAAGGTCGAATGCAGGAAATTTACAGTAGCGGTGGGAATGTGAGCATTTCTATTTCACTAGAAGAATGTACCTCTTTATTTCAGGTGGTGATTTATGCAACCTTGCATTGTATAAGATAGATTAACATAAGTGCTTTTGAACATCAATAATACAACAATAGTCAAGTGGCCAGCTATGGATGCTCCAAGGAGGCCTGAGGTAGTGAATGTCACAGTGGTATGTGTGACACTACCCCTTGAAAAAAGCTTGGACCCGGAAACAACATAACCCACATTTACAATCAACAACAGGAATCAACTCTGAATCATAACAGGTTTCTTCACTGGACATGCGCTTGTCAAAAGATACCTGCACATAATGAGCTTGTTTCATGCATATTTAAACTCTAGACTCTGTACCAGAAAACCTGAAATAGCCTACCTTATTTTGCATGATTACCATGCACTAGATAGCAGGAGGAAAACACTTTTGGGAGTGTTTTCTTCTTTGGGATCTTATTTGCATATATCTTAAACAAATGTAACGACATAAATCTTATCATTGGCGAAATGTAAAGGCAGTCAAAACCACCAACTTCACAAATAATACCAATTTGATAAATTAAAGAAAGAAAGTAATTGAATACTTGATCTTCTCTTTCATCAATTTCTATATAAAAATAGGTGGCTTGTGTCACATTCTTCCATCAACAATAAATAAAGTTATGTGAGTCATCATGATGATTGACGATATAAGTAAAAATTAGGTTGAGTAAGAATAGAAATTTATAACATGTGCGATTACTGAGGTGATTGTGTTTGATGGCATTTATTGGTCACATATCTTTAGATTTAATCATGCCATTATAAAATTGTCTTGAAAGTCCAACAGTGTTGATTATAATCGAAAATAAATTTACAAATAATTCCAAATATTGCCAGTTAAGGTAGTTGATTGATGATTTTTCATTTCAGAAAGGATCATTATTAGTAAAAAACTGTATATACACATGCAATGAGACTTCAGCTTACCAAGTGCATGAATCAACGCTTCCTCCATTTGAAAAAGAAAGCCACGAAGCTTCCGGAAGTGATAGCGATAGTTATTACGATGGGGAAACTGTGCCAGATGTACCCGAATTAGAAGTTGAAGTGGTGAGTAAACTATTTCATTTTCAAACTATATTTTTAACTTATTATGTTATTTTAAATTGTTTAACATCTAAATAGCTTGTTTCTTTGATCTCATTTGTATAAGTCATAGTTTTGTCCTGTCATTTTCTGATGTTTACCTATTGTCCATTTTTTCAGACCACTACCCCTGCTCCCGTCGTCGATACTGCCACCGGTATATACTTCGAGCCTCATCCCCATATGTGCTACCGAAATGATTCCGGCTACGATCTTTGCGAAGTATACACCGACTACTCCAAGCCGATTAACTTTCACATCGGATTAAAACCGTCAGTACCGTTTTCCAGCCCGGACAACCGGACCTGCAAGTTTCCGACATGTAAGTATACACTTTCTAGTTTAAAAAGTTTCAGTGATTACTAAGTAGATTAATTAGGTAAGTTGGTGAGCTTAAAATTAAAAGTGTTTTTTGTAGTTTTTAATTAGAAAGATTGCAAGGAAATATGAAGTTTTGGCAAACGTTTAATATTAAAGTGTAGGATCTAATAAGTATTTAAAGTAAGAAGTTTATCTTTCAGAAAGTAATTATACCTATTACTTTTTGAATGCAATGAATGGACACAGCATGTTTTATAGGGGAAAGGCACCGAATTTGAGACAGGCGCCTAATTTGAGACACCGTCGTATATTTGTGTACGATAGTGTGACATCTAGTTAAAATATTAAAAACTGATCATTCTGTGAAGTAATGGTAGATCTGCTTTTAGTTGACGCTTAGAAGTGACCTTTGTTGTTTTGTCGACGGTAATTTGATTTACACATTACACAAATTTTTTTCGGAATTTTTAAAAACTTACAATACATCAAGGTAAGATGATTACATTTACTCCAATTTTTTTTTTTGTTAGTTTAATATTAGTTAATACATTTTATGCAAATTAAACGATAATTGTGTGTCATACATAACCAAAAAATATGCGTTTTATTTTTAACGGAAAAATCCTAATTTGAGATACCTGTAGGTTCCAAATTTGAGAGTGTCTCAAATTAGGACCCCTTGTAAATTTTTTATTTTTATGTGTTTTGTTGTTTGTAGATGCCGCCAAAAAATAAAAAATGGAACGCAGATAATATGATACGTGCTGTAAATACAGTAAGAAATAGAGAGATGGGCTATTTGAAGGCCTCAAAAGTTTTTGGAGTACCAAAAGGTACCTTAGAACGATATGTGAAATCAGACAAGACTCCAGAAGAACTTGTCGGGATATCAATTGGGCGCCGACCTATTCTTCCTTTGGAATTAGAAAATGAGTTGGTTGAGTATGCCCTAATTATGGAGCAACGTTATTTCGGACTAAGAGCGCGTGATATAAAACGACTGGCATTTCAACTTGCAATACGAAACTCAATAGCACATCCATTTAGCGGAGTCAAAAAAACAGCCGGAAAGAAATGGTTAAGGCTCTTTCTGAAAAGACATCCGGCGCTTTCAATGCGTACTCCTCAGGGAATGTCATGTGCACGAGTAAAATCTTTTACTCCTGAAAATGTATCCAAGTTCTTTGACCTGTATGAACCAGAATATCTTAAGCTTACTAACCCTGCACAACGTATATTCAATGTAGACGAAACGGGCCTTACAATTGTTCAGCACAAACATAGTAAAGTAATTTCCATGAGAGGGAAGAAGCAGGTTTCGTCACTTACTTCAGCAGAAAGGGGCAAGCTGATTACTGCTATTACATGTATGAATGCTGCAGGAGTTTTCGTACCACCATTATTAATCTTCCCCAGAAAAAAATATGAAATCAGAGTTGATGCTAGGAGCTCCCATTGGAGCAATCGCAGAATGCATGTGTCAGGTTGGGTACAGGCCGATATTTTCACTAGATGGCTTCAACACTTCATAAAATTCACTAAACCTTCAGCTGCAGACCCTGTTCTTCTCGTCCTTGATGGTCACTATTCTCATACGAGAAACGTTGCTCTAATAGATTTGGCCAAACAGAATCATGTGACGATTATTTGCCTCCCACCACATTCTACACATAAAATGCAACCGTTGGATGTTGCTTTTATGGCACCGCTGAAAACTTACTATGCACAAGCAATAGAAAACTGGCTTAGAGAAAATCAGTTGAGTGTTGTGTCGCCTTACGCCGTTGCCAGTATTTTTTGTAAAGCGTATAACAAAGCTGCGACGATGGAAATATCTTGCAATGGTTTCCGCAAAACTGGACTGGTCCCTATTTGTCGCCATATTTTTAGGGACTTTGAATTTGGAATTCAAGAGCACTTAGAAACACAAAACGAAAAGGATGAACAAATAATAGAAATAAACCATGAACAAGCAAATCATCCAATACAAGAACATAGAACTCCTAGTCCACCACTACCTCATCAACAACTTGTTTCTCCGAAAGACATCTGTCCAATTCCTAGATTCTACGAGAAAGATACAACTAAAAAACCACATGCCAGATCAGGAAAGGCTTCAATAATTACTTTAACACCCTACAAAGAAGAATTAGAGCAAAGTTTGCAGAAGAAAAAAGCAAAAAAACTAGTACCCCAGCTAAACTTGGATTGTGTATTTGCTCCAGAAAAAAACAGTTCAACAAAAGGTGTTAGATCAAAAAAAACAGCAATGCCCGAAGAAGAAATAGCAGATGAAGACGTAGATCAACCTTCTACATCAAAAGGCAAAACATCAAGAAGGAAGCGGAAAGTTTCTTCGAGTTCAAGCTCAGATAGCAGTGAAAACTTTCCATTAGCTGATTCATCGTCCAACGAAAGTGAAGAAAACGACGCGGAATGTTTATTTTGCACCGGCAAATTTTCCGACGATAGATATGGCGAACGATGGGCAAAGTGTTACCAATGTGGCAGGTGGGCACATGAAGACTGTGGAGAAATAAAGTCCAGCACATTTATTTGCCTTTTCTGCGAAGGAAAGGGCTTTTTTGAATAGTATCTCAAATTAAGGTACCTGTCTCAAGTTTAGATACCTGACTATCCCAAATTAGGGCACCTTTTATTTTTAATATTAAATGTCGCAAAAAAATTAAATGTATTTTTTTGCAAAAATATATGTTTTATTCGCTTTTTTTTTGTTTTGTTGTGTTCTAGAAACATTAAGTTTAAGTTTTCGAAATGAATGTTTTAAAAATTTTAAATATTCTGTTTTATATTTGTTTTTCAAAAAAAGTGTCTCAAATTTGGTGCCTTTCCTCTATTATCCAGAGGTGTTTAACAAAGGATTCTGGAATAGCTTTCAAAACATACTGGAATGAGGTGGATGATAACGGTAGAGCAAAATGGACAGTATTTGTACACGGAATATAAAAAGTTTTATTTGGCAGTTACTTATGAAGTTAGTTGCGATTCAAACCGCTTTTTTTTTGTTTATAGATATGTATTAGTAATCTGTTAGTATGTTCTCTTCAATAGAAATTGAACCCTGGCGTGGAGACTGTGATCTGCTTGGTAAACTTCATTTTATAGTTATTATAATAAAACGTGTAACTGTAGTTTAAAATAAAAGCTACATCTCCTTAATCTCCTTAAATCCTCACAAAACGTAACGATGTTTTCATCTCCTGATTTGGAGTCTTAAAGTATTCCTAATACCTTATCATACGTGCAAAAGAGAGGCTCGTTTTCTTGCATCCTTTCAGACATTTGATTATCAAGACTCTTTTCACTGCTCGTTTGTATTCGTACCACGATGTATTTTCCTGGTATTATATTATTGTCAATGGGTTCTTGAACTCCAAGTTTCGCACCATCATTCATCATTTTGGCTTTTCAACCCTGTGTGGGTCCTAGCCTCCCCAATAATTCTCTTCCAGTCGTCCATATCCATCGCCTTCCTCCGCCAAGCACGTATTTCCATATTTCTCATATCTTGGTCTATGTTATCTAGGAATCTTGTTCTGGGTCTTCCTCTTCTTTTTTGACCAATAGGTCTATCAAGGAGCGTTTTTCTAGCTGGGTCGGTTTGCTCCATCCGCATTACATGGCCTACCCACCTCAGACGTCCTATCTTCTGAGATTTTGCGTCCAAGTTCGCACATTCTTCCATATTGTAATTTGGAGCTTCATATGAGTCATCACTCTCTGCATAAACAACTTCTTCGGAATTTCTATCGTCACTACTTAACTTTGATTGTTTCTTGAATGTATTCTTCGAAAGATTTGTCTTAGTTTTTGATAACTGTAGGTGTTCTAAATAGGTTTTAGTTGTGATCACCTCAGCAACACCTATTCCTTACCTCGTCTTTTGATTTGGTTTCGAAGAAGGTTTCACTGTTGTTAGTAGATCATTCTCCCAGGATGTAACGGAAGTTGATGCAATGCAATTCTGGCTTTCTGTAGTAGAGCTGCAAGAGGTTGTACATAGAATCGTAGTCTGGAATGTTTTTATCTACATAATATCGTCTTAACTTTTCGGGGTTAAACTTTTCTTTGCAAATGAAATCTCGATTTAGAGAAAAAAATCCTGTTTTTCTAAAGCCATTTACCACAACAGCTTCTCGAATACTTCGTCAAGCTTTTCCCAAAAGGTTGGAAACTTCGCATTTTGTTAGTTGTTTTCCTAAATTTTTGCGCTGCCAATAAAGCATCTCATGCAGACTTGAAGATAGACACATCCAAGGGCTGCAATATTGCAGAAGTATGTGGCGGTAATTTAAGAATGTTCATATATATTATTCCATATCCGACGCAATTAGTTCGGGTGAAATATGCGATAAATGACCATCGTAAATCAAAAGAGCAGGCCTAAAAAAAATGATTCAAAAATCAGAACCATAGAAAAAATTCTTGTTTATTCATCCAACCAATTTCGGATACGTAGTAAGACGTTTTTGGTACTCTTTTGTACCCAACATATTGTCCCATAACCGTTTGCCCTTGTGGAGTATCATAAGTGGCAATATGGATCCGTTGGCATTAACACATGCCAGTTTCCGGTTCCAGTTACAACCTTAGGCATAATTAAAAGGCGTTTCATTTGCATTCCAAATTTTAATAGAATATTAATGCAGTCCCAAATTATTCATAGCAATTTCCAGTTAATTAAAGAAATCGTAAACAACAAATTCTCACTTTTTGTCTTATATGTGATGCTTAAATTATCTTAGGTTTTTTAACAGAAAGTCGGTTGTGTTTTGAAAAATTTAGAAACTAATCTTCACGAGGCTTCCCCTTTTTAAAAGATGTTTGCTGATGATTTTTTTAAACATATAACAGTGTTAAGTTTTTCTTTGCAAGAAAGTCCAAACCTCCACTGACTAATAGCTTTAATCCTAAAAGCCAAAAGTCTTCATCTTCTTTAGAAACGGCAGTTTTACCACCTAGTCACACCTGTTTAAATAGAATTTTATTTTTTTATATAGTAAAATCTAGCAGGCAACTTATTTTGTTATTACCTTGTGCATATCTTGCCGCTGGTCTACCCATTCACTTTTAATCCATTAAGTGTCAATTTCGATACGTCATGCTCTATTGCAGCCTACTTTAGTGAAGATTTTTCGATTATCGAGTAATTGTATAATTATTTTGTAACTTGAACTCGAAATGTGACGTGTCCTAATTCTTAAAGCATGAAGTGTTGAGCTGGAAACTGTGACGCAGCTTAGCAAAGATGTATCCTTATTCTCCGTTATCTTCTTATCATTAAAAAGAACCTACCTCTGGTAACCTGACACTTTTTTTAACTTTTTGTCTGTCTACTTCCAAGTTGTTCGCCAATTGTATTTTTGTAACTAGTATCTAGATGCTATTCGCTATGTGTAAGTTCTGAAGAGCGACACCTAGTGGCATAAATTAGCGAAGGTGTTAGCACTATCAATATTTTAGTCTTATATTTAGAGCAAATAAAGTGACTTAAACTTGTTTATTTAATACAATAATTATTGTAACATATATCAATAATTAACTTTGAAAAATTTTGAATTGATTTTTAACTGTAAAAATTCGTAAGTATATTTTTTACGTGTAGATTTCATTATTTGACATTTAAGATTGAGGTTGTTAAAAGGTAAATATTGTATGTAGTAAATAAAATTAATTATTAAATTGCAGTATTACTATTAAGATGGATGCAATAATAAAAACTGAATTCCAGAAAATAAGTCATAAAATACTTTTTCAACCAACTATCATATCCACTATAATATACAATTAATAATTGCATATCATATCAATATTTTGAAGCAACGTTAACTCCCGAATTCATAATGACAACCTAAGTAGCTATACTTTAACTAAGTGAGAGCGCACACCAAACTGGCATGACAAGTGGCAAGTAGCACGCGTCTAGCATGTTACTTAAAATGTAACCAATGCAAACGAATGATTAGAATGAATGTCATAAATAATGAACTGTCATTTTGGTGTGCGCTGAATCATTCGTTTTCATTGGTTACATTTTACGTAACATGCTAGACGCGTGCTACTTGCTACTTGCCACTTGCCATGCCAGTTTGGTGGGCGCTCTCCCTAATGTTCACTTTGGACTAAATTGTATAACTGTGTCTTTTGTAATTCACACCTTTCAAAGAAGCATACATCGCATTGGTTTAAATAATAAATTCTTTTCCTGTCAACTTTTCGGTGGCGTAATCTGAACTTGAAAAAACATTTAACATTTTTTTAAATTTGAAACAAAAAATAAAATTGTAAACAAACTTAGACCAACATGATTATTATTGAAATTTACACTTTAAAGTGAAGTTTAATTTAATGCTTATGTCAAACTAATTACGAAATCAGGCGTAAGAATCCAGAATTTAGGTTATGTTACTTACTTCTGCTTTATTATGATATAAATTCACTTTTTTCGTTGCATTAAGTTGTGCTTAGAACTTGAATTTATTATTTTTTGTTGTATTTTTACAATTTAGAATACATCATTTGCGAAATCTTATTTCCATCACTAACTACTTATGAAATATGCTAACAAAGTTCCAAGATTTCACCGCTGCATGCGGAAAATCTTCTCGTATCCCCTTAAAGTACTTGCACACAGCGTATAAGAAATATTGCATTAAACCTAATAATAAATAACCTAATTAACACTTCCTTTTGTTTTTAGTTGAATCCTTCCAGTGTAGAATTCGTCCAGATGTCCAAAAAAACTTAACTTACCATGTAAAAGACTGCAAACCAATTGTTATTTGCGAAATTCACAACCCCTACAACAACGAGGACAGTTTATTAGAAAGATCTCAATGTGGTAACAGCAGCTTTTGGTTGTACATCTTCGTCAGATCCATCGCTGATTTATTCCTAGCAGCGACTGTAGTTTTGATTACCACTGCAGTTGTAATTGCTACAAGGGAGACATCTACAGGTATGTATATACAGTTTTAGCAAAACATTATTGCAGATTAGTGATTTAATTCTGTAACAACTAAATAAGAAACCCTTCAACAAAAAATGATAAAAGTTACTGTCCCTAACAGTGAAAAAACATTATCATTATAAAATATTGCACTGACATAATGGTTTGTTGACCTTTGAAGACAGGGCCATATTCCTGGATAAAAACAGATGCTGGAATCCAAAGGAACAGGTAGTAAAATACATCATACCCCAAGGGTGGTTTATCCAGTCGGCAGAAATCGATATTATAAAATAATTCAGTGAATGCAGGCGGAAAAAAAATTGAATTTCTAGCCTGCTCACAAAATTGTGAATTTCTCGATCGTAACTAAAAATTATCATGATGAATGTTTTGAAGGTGCTTAATTTCTTTGCAGGACTCCCGTAGCCATACCTCTTTTTCCTCTATCTTTTTGAGAATTAAACTATGCGTTATGTATTCACTATTAGGATCATACATTATTAAAATTTAAATAATTAAATTATTTTTTTAGGTAGAGGAGATATTGGAAAGCAATTCGCAGCCGGAGCCTTGGGATTTGCTATTTTTGCTCCCATTATAGGCGGATGTGCAAATGGTGGCTATTTGGAATCCATCATTTGCTTTACCGTTTTAGCTGCACTTGCTGTTCTACTGCTTCTAGCTGATAAGTAAGTATTTTTTATTTAGATAGACTGTCTTTAATATTTTGCATATAGAGTTGGTATAAAGAGGTGGATTGCTTTTAAATACTATAAATTGTTTGTTTCGAATAATTGTATACAAATATTAATTCGCTCGCACTAACCCTGGAAATATATTTTTCATTTATTTATTGGTACTGCCAAAATAGCATTTCGACAACATCTTCGAAAACTGGAACTTATGACTACGTAGTCTATCTACAATTTCCGAAAATGTAAAAAATCGCTGGAATTTAGGTCGAGAATGTGAGGAGGATGGATTTGATGTTTTGTTGACTCAAAAATTCATGGTTTTGGGATTAGTTTTCGAAACTCAGACATGATTTGAAACAAACACATGGATAAAAATGTTCTGAAACTGCTTTATTGTGGTATGTCTAAGTTAAATATTTTGTTTATATAGCATTATAATTGTGGTAATCAACAATAACGAATGATTTGGAAGCGGGAGACCTACCTAAAATTCTAATCTCTGTCCGATGAAGCCGGATTTACGTAATAACAGGCCATTTATTCAACAATTTCTGTGTAATTTTGATTGCACAGAAAATTATATCTTTTTCGACAAATAATCATAACTATATTATAAGACTATTATTAAATTTTCAGTTCCATTCCACTGAGTCCTCCAGAATGGTGGTGGCACACAAGATGCGGCCTATTAGCGCTTCCAATGTCTTCTGTAAGAAAATATGGTTGGGAAGTTGCTTCACTTGGTCTGGTGTTATTCCTTCTGGGTGTATTTTGGAGTGCTATCGATTCGTTTTTGCCCTGGTAAGTTAATATTTAAACTGTAATATTCTAATGTTGCTATTTTTGATTTCAAATACTCCCTTTTTACTGGTTAAATTTAGGTTTCATGCAATGAACATAACCTATAGATATATTTGACATTCAATGTAGCCACACAGCGTGACCACACACAAAGTGGAGTAGTAAACCCAATCCCATGCGTGTTTCTTAATAAAATAAAATAAAAAAAATTATATAAAATAAATTAAATTAAATGAAAAACCATTGCTCCATGTGTAGATGATAATAAAATTAAGTAATTTAAAAAATATGTTAATAAAAAATAAGTAAATTTCTATCTCTATACAGAATTTATATCTAAGTTTGATCTCATTATATGTACATAGCTAGTTTATTAGTTAATCATTATGTTTTTAGGCACATAGTCAATGAAGAGAATGGGGAACCGTTGGTTATAGGAATGACGGTCACTGTGGGAGCTATTCCAGCTGTGATATTCTTGATATTCGCTGAAATAGTTGTAGATTATTGTGGCCATAATAACATTCTTATCTTCTGTTTTGTTAACTATATCTGCCATCATCTAGGTAAGTACCTTTTTGTCATTATTAACATACATCAGATACGCGCATACAAATAATTATTCATTATTATATACAATATTTTTGGGACACTCCCAAAAGAATGGCAACACAGGCAATTAACTAAATCAAGTCGGAACCACAGAGTTATATTAAATATCCTAGTGATCAAACTCCCTATGATCTTTTAAGGACAGAATTGAAGTCGACCAGAGGGTGTTACTTTTCGGCAGAAAAAAATAAGGGGGCAAGAATTTGAAAATTTAAGAAAATTTTGAAAGATCTCGCTTTAACTTTTAACTTTATGGAATAATAAATTTTGGGACTTGCTTTATCAAGTTGAGCTTTTAAACATGCAAAAAGATTACAAAAAGAAGATACCTTTCCCGCGGGATTAATATTACACTTATGTCTAGATGTATTGAATGCCTTTTAGGAGTTTTTCTTCTCTATTTTCTCCCACAAGCAGGCAGGGCCGCCGAGAGGGATGAGAGAAGACCAAAACAAATGTTTCATTTTTATAGAAATAAAGTTATCAATAATAAATAATAATTAACATTTCAAATATAATATTTATTAAATTTTGATTATATTTTTGAAAATTTTTATAATAGAGGTGCATCTCGAGTTTTATGATTGGCAGAGATGTCTATAGTTTTCGAAAAATCGCATCATTTTACCAAATCATGCTCAATGCGCAAAGTTGCTAGGCCAGTTAACCAAACCTGCTTCATTGTAGATCTCATAGCATGCGAGAAAAACAACTAAAGACCTTTCCGCTTCTGCAACTGTCACCGGTAATGTGCAAAATATTACGTGCACGCAATAATCACGTTGGAAAATAATGATAAAACTCATGCAATATATCATTTTTTTTCTTAATATTGTCGTTATCGTCATCTTAATAGTATGATGTCAAGTTAAACTGTTAACAATTCCAGACAGGTTTGAATATGGTTTTCGATTGTTACCAAAAGTAAAGTATCTCGTCCTGTAATGTGTTTCATACTGTTTTCTAGTTGTCTTCATTTTAAATAGCAACTTTTGTGGTTTGCACTGCTTTTGTGCTCTAGAGCTCTTCTATATAACTTTCTATAACCAATTTTTTGTTCCCAACAAACAACTGTATATAATCCAGAACTTTATGAAAGGGTGATTGTCGACATGGAAAACAAAAAAGAGATTTTTGTTATGACTCATACTAGCTAGGCACGATCTTCATACTCATTATTTTGCATTTAACACCTCAAAACACATGTTGGAAATGAATTTCCATACGATATAATCATTTTTGGAAATACACTGGGATTATTTTTATGACCTTGTTCAACTTCATTTTTATTTTTTGGTCAATAATATTGATAGGTAAAGATCCTATATCTCTTGGTAACAACGTTTCAATATTTACATTCGATTTAGCTCCCGATTTAGTATGTGCATCGAGCTCAGGTTAAATTTTTTCTTCATTTTAAGAAGAAGATGTGCTTACAAATCCCGTATTTTATAAAGTTTGTGTTTCAGCCATCGAGCAAAAAGATAAAAGAGGGAATGTAAAGGTAGTGGAGACAAAAATATTGTTAGACAGGAAGTGCTATCTTGAGAGGCCACTTTAAACAAGGATAGACAGTCTCTTTCCTTGTTTAATAAGTCAAATTTAGTTTTAGTTATGTTATTGTTTGTCCCAACTGTCACATGAAATTTTATTTATATTGAAGTTTTTTACCAATTGTGTCACTTTTTAGACTATTATCGTTAATATTTAATTAAAAGTTTCTTGTCTGAAAAATATTTTACAGCTATTGTTAACAAGTGTTGAAAAATTTAAATTTAGCGCCTTTGCATTTCCGGATATGCCCGCCATCAGAGGCCACTTTTTGGTCTCCTTTTCATAACGATTAGATTCCCTCTTTTATCTTTTTGCTCGATGGTTTCAGCACGGTTCGTAGACTTACTACGGTTGCCTCTTCCGACTGGGGTGGGGATGCTTGAGTTACGTCACAGGAGTACACAAGAATACAAAACCCATTTATTCGCGATTGAAACTGAATGTAGAGGGTAGGTCGATTGCAGTGTCATGGCCGATATAAATGGTATAAACAAAAACAAACATAACATTCGAATATTTACCATTGCTTTTCCATGTTTAGTTTGGTTTAAGACGAGTTATTTGTATCATTTAATAATGGAAATTAACCTTAATGATTTCTTTGAGTATTGTGGTGAAGCAAAGAGTCCATTGGTTGAAGGGGAAGCAGTTTTCAAGTGATGAATTCCTAAATTTTAACTTTAATGTTTCGAACTGGCTTGTGTATTGATGACGATGAATCCTATTTTGTGTATACCTGGGAACCCAGAATATGATATTCTGTGTAATGTTTGCCTTAACGTATATATGCATTATTATACCTTATGTTTAAATATGTTAATTTTTATTTTATACTATTTTTTGACATATGTAAGTACTTTATTGTATATTAACATAAATAAATAACTTTAACTTGGCTTTATTCTAAAATAGTTCATTTGATTACATGAAATCAACCTACTTTATTTATAAAACTTTTTGTTTTGATACATCCATCCAATCATAGGGCTGAATGTTAAGATTCAAATTACGTCACAGGAGTACAATCCGGCTTAATGTTCATTGGTTAGGCGGAAGAGGCAACCGTAGTAAGTCTAGGAACCGTGGTGTTTCAGTACCTACATTTTCTTCTTTTTCTTTTTAATCTTTCGTTTAAGAGCAACCAATTTATGATGATAAGACAATTTTATGGATTAACCCTTACATCGCCGGATCCCGGTAAAATGTACCGGCTGTATCGCCGTCTCAGTGGGTCTGCATACAAGTGAAAGTTTTTATTTAATTAAGTAGTGCGTATACATATATTTCTGTATATAATGGCATTAACAAGCAATGACTTATCCATTCTTCTATTTTTTCATTTTTGACAGACATAATTAAGACCAGAAGTATATGTTATTAGACAGAAATACCACGGCAGCTCTGTTTGTGAAATATATATTAGAAAATCTATGTTTTATATAAAAATACACTCGTATAAATAAAAATGATTATTTTTCGACCGGGAGATCATCTTACTTAAAACCACTCAGATAAAATTCCATATCACGGGAAACAAATGAAATTTCAAACAATGTTTACATTTTTTTTGCCCACTTATGCATTCACCTAGCGAACAACACACGCAGTACACTTTAAAAAATCTGCTTCACTTATTTTCCTCCAAATCTACATATATGCATTAAACAAACTATTTAAAGCAGCCACATCTCAAATCGGAGCCGCTATGATAATTGCCAACCTCAATCGCAAAGATTCCACGCAAAGAAGAAACATATATACTGTAAAGGAAAGAACTTGCAGGGCTTTAAAGTTTACTTACAAATATATAGTATTAAATTATAATAAATTATTATAATTAGTAAAACATTTTGAGAATATTGTGAGCTTTACTTTTATATAGCTACTATTTGTTTTCAGGTCTCATGTTCTTCGATAACGCCTGGTATATCCTCATTTGCGAATGGTTGGAAGTGTTCACATTACATATTATGTATATAACTGCCGTACTCTACTTAAGACATTTGGTTCCAAGGAAATTCACCGCTTGCGGACAAGCACTGCCAATCATTGCTCACTTTTGTTTAGGTATGTATTTAAATTTATGTACTTTATCACATTTATATTTGTCATTTTATATACCTACTTAAGTCACTTGTTTATATAAGTTTCTTGTTTTGGTTACTTTTTACATTATTAAGAGGAACTCAATACTAAGAATGACTATTTATTATAAAACCATTAGATAAAAATGATCATCATCATATAACGGGGGTCCTACGGCGATTGCCGCTTCCCGCATTTCAGCCTCCATCTTTTCCTATCTCTCCAATCTCCCTCTTCTAAGCCTCTAGATTGCATTGTTTTTGTAATTTCTCTTCTCCAGGAATTTGGTGGTCTTCCCCTTTTCCTTCTTTCTGGCGGAAAATACATTAAGGCTTTCTTTGGCCACCGTTCCTCCTCCATTCTCATCACGTGACCATACCATTGTAATTGCCTTCCTTGTATTCTATCTGAGAGAGTATCTCTAATTCCTGTACGGTTTCGTATTTCCTCATTCCTGACTCTTTCCATTCTCGATACTCGACATGACCTTCTAAGATAATCCATTTCCACAACGTCTACTTTATCTCGTTCATTCTTTGTCATCGTCCAACATTCGGCACCATATGTGGTAATTGGTTCTACAATTGCTCTGTATACGCGAAGTTTGGTATGCATCTTTATTTTATTAGACCACAGTAATGAATTCAGTATTCGGATGCATTTTTTCCCTTGGGTTATTCGGTTTTGTACATCTATCTTAACTCTGCCATCTGCTGATATGATGATTCCTAGATATTTATACTGGTTGCAGCCTTTTATGACTGCGTTTTCAAGCCTCAAGCCTGTGGTATTTCCTCCAATTTTTAAATATTCTGTTTTGCTTATGTTTACAGTAAGCCCCCATTTGGCATATTCCTCAAATAATTTTCGATTCATATAATTTATATCTTCCTCATCGGTTGCAACCACCACCTGATCATCTGCAAACAACAATGTATACAGAGTTTCTTGTCCCACTTCGATGCCCATAAATCTACATTTATTTCTCCAATTCCTCAATGCTTCTTGGACGTATATTTTAAAGAGTGTCGGTGACAAACAGCATCCTTGCTTTAGGCCTTTAGTGACTTTAAATTCATTTGAGGTTCTGGTTCCAATTTTTACACAAGATAAAGAAGAAAAAAAATTTAAGAAGATAAAAATGATGTCTTCTTAAATTTGTAAAACTATGATAAAATCTAATCATCACTATCAACTACCACTAATGGCTGCTGTGACTTATACATTAAAAATATTTAAAAAAACTCACAATGAAGTAAAACATTTCAGGCGATATATGGGTACAATATAGACAGAGAAAACAAAAAATAAACAGAAATAAAAATAAAACAATCATAAACAACAAAACGAATGCCTACGATGATAGTCAAATGGACAGACAGTATAATAACATAATATGCTAGCGGATCATAGATGTTTATGAAATTTCTGGGAAAGGTTACAGGAAAGCAATCTGGTACATACAAAAATAAAGATATTAGAAGATAGCAGAACAAGAAATATCAATCGTTTGGTCATATCGTAATAATGGATGAAAATCTTTCGCGGAATTAGGTAAAACCTAAAAGACTAGCTAAAAGAAAAAAGATAGTCCCAAGAAAAGCTGGGAAAATAGTAGAACTATAATTAAGATCAATCTTCAACCTTAAAATGCATTTTTTTATATTAAATTATATTAAAATGTGGCTTATTGACTTTACCCTTTTCATTATTTTATTTTATTTATTATTATTTTTATCAGCTAAACTCCCTAAAGTATATTTGAATTCCATTCAATTTTAAGTTAGGTGTACGATGATTATCTTGTTGAGGTAACGTAAATTTCATAAGTCAATTATGTTTTAAAAAAGTTTTTTTACTATTTTGTCTGTTACAGGTCGTTGTTTTGGAGTTTTATTGGGAGGACTTGCATTTTCTGACTTCAACTCAGAATATGTGTTCCAGAACGTTCACAAATACTTCTGCGTTGCCGCTGTAGTGGTAGCGATAATTTATTTCTGCTTGTACCATTTCTACCTGAAAGCATACTGCATTCCCCCCGTACATTTGCCTCCTGCCCCTGCTCCAGCTCTTATACAAAGTAAGTATATAAAATGTCTAATTTATTCTTAACAAGCAATTGGACTTCGTTATGTCCTAAGTTTTTAAACAACGTGACCGAATGTCGATATTTGAACCCTTCGTGTAACTTTGCGTCAATTGATATACGATTTTACTAATTTTGAGTCATTTTTGCCAAACTTCCGGTCATAACTTTTTAACCGGAAGTATATATTTGTTCTTTCCCGTTCTCACATACGGATCAGAGGCATGGACGCTAACGAAAACAGATGAATCCGCTCTATCCATTTTTGAAAGAAAGGTGCTACGCAAGATATTTGGAGCGGTCTGTGAGAACGGAATATGGAGGCGTAGATATAACTTCGAACTGCAGAATATCTACAAGCATACGTTTGGTGGTAAAGATATTACCACTATAATTAAGCGAAACCGCCTGCAGTGGGCAGGACATGTAGCCCGGGCCCCTGAATCGAACATGATAAAAAAGATTCTAACAGCGCAACCTGTGGGAATGAGACGACGGGGTAGACCAAAGCTGAGGTGGATGGATGGGGTAACACAAGATGCGGAGAAGATCGGAGTCGGCAACTGGAAAATTCAAGCAAGGGACAGAACAGAATGGCGTAGAAAGCTTGAGAAGGTCGAGGCCCTCTAAGGGCTGTAGCACCAAGATGATGATGATGATGATATATTTGTCCTCGTCTTTATAAAGTGTGTCAAATAATATATCGCGTGTGCTATTTCGGTGTCACTAAAACAGTACTTCCAGTTGCAACCTCCGAACCGGAAGTCCGAGGTCAATCTTTTTATCATTAATACCATCTTTGGAGAGATCTCATTCTCATTAATCGCAACACTACACAAAAAGCACATCACAGGAGGAGGTCGGTGGTAGTGACTGGGTCTGCAGCTCCATCCTCGGTCGATGTATTCGCTCCCTCGGCGGTTCGTCTTCTTCTAGGCTGTCCGTATCCCATTTACCATATCAACGGGGTTTCGTAGGCCAGGGGCCTAAGCCTGCGTGGTGTATCGTACCACATACTGTAGGGAGGCGCTAGCTGGTCCTACTCCGTGATTTTCGTTGGCAAATGGGGCTTCTAGCTTCGTAGAAGGCTGGCTCGTCGAAGGTGTCTGCACATCGAAGGCCTGGATATCGGCATGTTGGCTTGATATGCCAACATCCGATGCTTCTCCCCGCTGTTTTCTTGAATCCAGCACACGGTGGTGGATTCATCTGTGTGCCTTCTGTGCAGGCGGGTCGTAGGTTCGGATTTTAATTCGCGAGTTGGGCGCCATGTCGTACCGGACTAAGTGGTATGCTGGATAAATGATTGCAAATACCACTTCCGTACAATTTTACAAAGATTTCGAGAAACTGGTTTTCACTCAAGAAGACCTGTGTGAAGACCAAGGTCAATAAACGCCGTGGAAGATTGTTTTTTAAACTTTAAGTGCTTCGAGAGCGGACAGTTACCTCTACAGCTTTGACTAGAAGACTGGTAGATATTCATAGTATCATAGTTTCACGTCGAAGATTAAGCGAACAAAATTCATCATCTTATGTACCTGCTACATGACCTTTATTGAAGGCAGCTTATCGAAGACAAAGCTTGAAATTCTGTCCTGCATATACAGATTGGAATATAGAAGATTGGAGAAACGTTCTGTTTACAGACGAATCTTGTTTTAGGAGATATTTACCTGATGACTGCTAAAGAATGTGGAGAAGGCCTGGAGAATGCCATCCCCAATGTTGCTCAATTCCTACAGTACAGTTTAGTGGTGGAGATATAATGGTATAGAGTGGCATTTTTTTGGAAGCACATACATATCTTGTTATGTTAGGGGCAAATGACCTTAATGCTGATAGTGACATTAAGGAAGGTCTAGACGAACATGTGTTACCTTATATGCATTTTGTAGGTGAAAATTTTCTCCTAATGCAGGATAATGCTCGGCCGCACATAGTCAGGATAGCAATGCAATATTTTACAGACATTGGTATTCAGTTACTAGCCTGGCCTCCTACAAGTCCAGACCTTAACATTAGAGTTTTTCTAATACTCTTTGTAAGTGTCTATTGCTAACTTTTTATTCCCGACAGAGCTTCTTATAACTAAATAATATAACTAATATAACGTTCTAATAACAAAACCTATTTTTTATATTATTGAGTTTCGTCACAATATTTACAATTATTTTGCTTTTAAATCTACTAATTTTCTTTAATCGTTTTTCAGGTATGAATGGCAACGGAGCTTACACACCCCTCAGAGTTTACCACAACAGCAAATCAAAGAAAGGTCACTTTAGATATTAATTAATTCTAAACATGTACTAACCAAAATCAGCTTTACATATTTTTGTAAGAATATTTTTGAATCTCAATTCTAAGCTTTTTGTACCTCGTACAAACTTATTTTTACGGCAACTGTTGTCATAACCTAAGTGACAGATAGTAATTGACTTATGTAATTCTTAGGAGAGTTGGTAAATGTTCAATATCTTTTATGGGTAGCTTTAAGCGTCTAGTTATTTATTTTAGATGGAAACACTATATTTTTTGTACGATTATATGAAATCAACGACTTCTGATTTATATAGTTGAGTTTTTGTTAGCCCTTTGTTAAAGCATTACAAAAATCTATTACGATTCTTTTTTATATTGTATGAAAGCACAATTAAATTAATTTTTCCGCAAATCGCCAGGAAATTTTGACATTCCTGTCAAAATTTCTTAAAGAAAAAGTCAGGACTTCCTTACTGTAAGGAAATGTGATTTCCTTACTGTAAGGAAATGATATTTCCGTACAGTTGTTAGTGTTCTACATAAATGATAGAAAACACATTGCTTATAAGGAATTAATTTATATTTTGAAAACATCAAGTCATTGCTGAATACATTTTTAAGATCAATTTGTTATATTTACAGTAATTTGACAGTTAGTACAATTATTGAACATTGGAGGAACACTCTTAGAACTATGAGAAACATTTTGGACAACATGCAGGGTGGAAGTGTCATTTTGTTGAATATTTTGTACTGTGAAAATTTTATTTGCCACCTCAACCTTATTGTTAAGCGATTCTTCGATATATCCTTCAGCAACGTTTGATGACTTCCATCCGCCATGCCTCTTTAAACTAGTTATGTCGGCACCAGAGTCAACCAATATTGTCGCAGAAGACCGACGAAAGCAGTGACCAGTATATTCTGTCGGATTTACCAAGTTCAAATAAGTAGCAATTATTTTGGGCATTTTTCTAAATTGATGAATTCCTACCACTTGTCTACAACCCTTTCCGCTTTGATATTTAAAGAAAAATCGGTCACTGTTCATATTTCCTGGTCTTAACGAAACATACTTTCGATAAACATACAAGTAGATCTGATTAATTACAAATGATCTTGGTTTGTTGGTTTTCGAATCAGGTATGCTGATTAAAAGCTTAGATTCTAAGTCTTCTATATCGTGTACAGTCATTCGGACTAACTCATCCATTCTACAGGCCCCAGAAATACCAAATATTACAGCCACCTAAAAAATAAATAAAGCTATAATCTAAATAGAAATTAAAACCTTGTAAATTACCTTAATCATTAAATTTTCTTTATCTGGAGCTTCCTGGATAAATTTTTCAATTTCTTCCTTCGTTAAAATCTTAGATTTCTTTGCCCTATAACCTTGAGAATGCCGTTTCAATAAAGAACGAAGTTTTGAGTATGAAGATATATCTACATTGTGTTTAAGTGCAAGGGTTGACTTCAGCATTGAATAATTGGCCCATAATGTTGAAGATTTCATCTTTAAACAAAGGTCTAGGAAGTATGCCATTGCAACATTTTCTGAGAAAGAACTCGTATTTTTACTCATGCGATAATCCATAAAACGTCTGTATGCATTTTCGTACTTTTCTCTTGATTTCTTTGGCAATAATTCTAATAAAGCAGTATTCACTGCCTCAACCAGCTCTGGAGGAGTCCCAGGAATGGAAATTTCATCATCACTTATTATTTTACTTTCGAGAACACCAGCAATTAAATTTATAAGCGTCAAGTTTGACAATTCAACCTCAATACGTTTCCATAGTAACCCAAGTAATTTTATTAGGAATTTCAAAGCACCATTTATTTGGGAATAAAATTATCGCGTTTTTTTTTAAATCAATCAATATCTGTCGAATTTTAAACGATTTGCGGAAAAATAGTATGTTTACCTCATAGGAAAAGCCACATTCTTGCGCCTCGACTTAGCAATCTTCACAGTCGTCCAGGAATGTTAAGCTTTTCCTACCCGGTAAACAATGTACTATTACTGAATATGACAGCTTTAGGCAATAAGGTAATGTTAAAAGAAATAAACGTATGTGTCAAACTATAACAAAATTTGATAGGCATCATCAAAGTATGAGATTGAGAAACGTTACAGTTGAAGCAAGTGAGGTAGGAAATTCAGGCCCGAAAATAGTAGTGTCCAGGTGTATTATAAAACATTTTGGTTGATAATTTCCAACTCATTGACAGACACCTGATCATCGTCAGCTATTATGGTATTAGTTTTATGGTATTTAGCTATGGTTTGCTTTAGGATTTCAATGTCAAAAAAATCGTCCAATTGTTTTAAAGAAACTTGTTTGTTATATTCCTGTTCGGGAGGCAAATGCCCTGGTTAGGTTCTAGAGGGGTTCCCAAAACCAAAACCAAACAAAATAAAAAAGGGATTTTTTTTGGTCTCGGAACCCTAATTGACGATATTTTTTTTGGCGGAACCCTATTTTGATAATTAAAAAAATTACCTTGTAGTTTGAATATTTTTCATGTAAGACTATAAAAGAGGGAAGAAATTATAAATGAAAAATAATATAAGGAATACACAATATTTTATACAATACTTAATTGTATAAATGCAATTAAGTAAGTAACTCTTAACTATTTCAATGTGAAGAATGAAATTTTTTCACACATTTTCTTATAATAGTATTAAAATTGGGCTTAATTTCTGACAATTGGATACGAAGATCCGGAGCTGCATCCAACCTATTTCTGGTAACTTGTTTTTGGTATAAGCGTAAGCTGAAAACCAGTCTCGCATTCGCTAAGTCGTTACAAAAGGAAGTAGAACCATGATAGCTTTCTCAACGATTGCAGAGTATTCATCTTTAAGTGCAATCCAAAAGTCATTCAGATTAGAATCTTCTGATTCGAATTTTTGTTTTAAAAAGGATGAACACTTAATGTCGATCAAATTATCATACTCTGGCATAGTTAGCATCGATGGCTTGGTATGTTTTGTGAATGGATTATGAACCCAGTCGATGTCCTGTAACTTCTTCGAGAAATAATCTTTCAAGGATTTTTCGAGGTTAATTAGATGTTCAATTATATTTTTTTACATCTGAGATTACTCCTAACTCATTCTCTTCCAGGAAGTTATTTAAAAGAGTAAAACATTATTAATTTGTTTGTTCCACACATATATCCAGAAGCCAATTTTGTTTTATGGGACGCTATTCTGTCTTTTACTGTAAATGTGGTTATTGTTCTTCCTTATAGGGACTGACAGAATACGTTGAGTTTATCTAATATATCATCTAAATAAGCCAATATCAACAACCATTGCTTATCATGCCATAGTTCAACAGATACAAAAATGGGTTGCTCAGCAAAGAATATCGTAAGCTAGTTGCGCAATTCCAATAATTTTGATAAAACTTTTCCTTTTGAAAGCCATCTTACTTCCGTGTGTAACAAAAGTGATTGATGCTGACTTCCTACCTCTTCTCATGCTTTTTTAAAAAGCCTCGACTGAAGTGGACGTGATTTAACGTAGTTAACAATTTGTACGGCTTAATCCAGAACTTTCTTTAAAGCCGATGGTATTTTTTTCGTAACAAGGACATCTGTAACATTATTTGTTACAGTTCCTTTTCTCTTGCCGACCATAGCTACAGCTCCATCGCTGCACACATCAATACATTTATTCCAGTCAATATAGTGTTTAGTCATATAATTATTAATGACAAAAATTTCTTCTCCTGTTGTGTTGGTCTCCAAGGGTGTACAGAGAGACACATCTTCTACAATTGATCCTTTAAAGGGGTATCTCACGAAAACAAGCAGTATTGATAACCCGGCGACGTCTGTACTTTCGTCAAGTTGTAAAGCAAACATCTCACCGTCTTTCAACCTACACATTAATTCGTCTTCAATGTGGTCTGAAATCTTATGAATTCGATCAGATATGATGTTATTAGAACACTGAACTGCTGCATCTTCTCCGAGTACGCAACTGACAATATCTGCAATACATGGTTTGATTAAATTCTTTGCAATCGTATGTGGTTTACCAGCACGAGCAATTCTGCAACTTAGATGCTTGTGTTGCGATTTCATGATCTGTTTTAATATATCTCTGTAAAGCAGCTATACCGGTTTTATGTTCTTTGTATCTTTCAAAAAAGCTTACACTTTTATCTTTCAGTTGCGAGTGGTTGGTGTCAAGATGCCGTTTAAGCTTTGCTGGCACAAGAGAGCTATTGCACATAATTTTACTGCAAATAACGCATTGTCCATCTGGATTGTTAGCAATTCCCACAGTAATAAATCCGAACGACAAGTAGGATTCATTTTCTCTTTTTTAAAATAGTTCTCTCGTTAGATTTAGCTTTTCTGTTAGTCGGTGTATTTTGTCGGTCTTATCCTGCACCAGGTTCTTCCGTACTTACTTCCGTACTCTGTAATAAATTTTTAATGATCAGCAAACGACATTGATAAATATCCAGCAACAAAAATAAATAAACTTTATAAATAATAAACAACAAAAATATTAAATAAAAAGTAGAAGTGGTCATTTGTAAGACTGTATTAAATAGGTTAGGTAAATAAAATTTCTTTACAGAACAACCAGCAACGGCTTCTTCTAAAATATATTCTGTAGACTCTGCTGGGTAATCTGATTGAACACTTTTGCTACTTGCAAGACGTCCCGTTTTGAGCTAGTTATTAATTATTATAAACTGAAAAAAAGGAAAACCTTACTTGATAAAAATAAGTAAGAACATCACATTAAATCATTTGCATTTGATTTTGAACAATGTGCTTAAAAACATTTATGAATAAGCAAAAACTTACCTGTAAAGATTGAAAATTCCAGATTAAGACAAGAAAAATTAATATCACTGTCTTTATTATTCCAGACTACATAAAATCATCTTTTACATTATAGTTGAATTCGTATTAAATAGAAGATTCCAATAATGACTGAATATACAGGGTGATGAATTTGAAAAACCAAAGTTACTAATAAGAGAAATGGCAAA